AAATTTAGTTAATAAACACTTTTTTCTTTTAATAATCCTTTTATATAACAAATAAATAACATTTGATTTATACTTTTTGTCTCAATACATATATAACTCTTATCGATAAGTAGTTTTATTCTTTATATACCATATAAATAACATTTGATTTGTATTTTTTGTTTCAATGCATATATAATCCTTGTTGATAAGTAGTTTTATTCGATAAAAAAAGTTTAATTATTATTCATATATTAAAATTGCGTGCACAGTTAGATCTCTGTTTTTTTTTTTTTTTTAAGGAAATACTAAACTTTAATATCAAAGTATACAAGTTATTTTAACTCATGCAAAAAAGTTCTTAAGAATAATTTACTTACAGACATATAAGATTACGCCACTAATCGTCATCTACTTACCACGTTTGGCTGTTAAACACCTTCTCAGATTTAGTCACCACTCTGCAGAAAAATAAGGTAATAATCCTCCCGTATTTTTTTCTTTTTTTTTTTGAAAGCAAAAGTTATGTTATATATTTTGGGAGTACAAGGGTACTCCAATTCGTTACATTGTTAAAAGCTTTAGAGCATAAGAGCTACACAAAATACAGATACCTTCCATACAGTTATGAGGGCCGGTAGTTATCTGCTCCAAATTCTATCTGATGGCTGTATTGTCCTTAATGTTCCTTCTGCCAGCACAGTTAATCTTTAAGCAGCTTGCTGGGTTATGGAGCCAATCAGATATCGAAAAGAAGCAACCTCCCCTTTTGCTTTTTATCCAACTGAAGGTCCTAAGTTGCACCAGCTCCAGCATCTTCCCCTTGTCCGCCTCCTTTCCTTTGAATATCTTCTCATTTCTTGTTAGTCATATTGTCCATATTGTGGCAAACCATATGCACACCCATCCCTCCTTCTCCCTCTCTGTTTTCACCATGTTGACATGCTGTTCAAACACTTTCCAGCAATCTCTATCTAACACAGTCTTGATACCCCACCATTTGTAACAGGCATTCCACAGTTCATATGATAACTTACAATGAATGAAAATATGACTGGCATCCTCATATTCCATCCCACAGAGGTCGCACTTGCACTCTTCAATCTCTTTTAAAATCAATAGATAAGATTAGAAAAAAGCAATGATTTCCTATCCCTAAGGATGGTAGCTCCTAACCCTGTCATTTCAAAAGCAATGATTCATTCGTTTGATTTGCCACGGGGAAAAGAGATGCCCATGGGGAAACTGAAGAGATTCCGTTGGAAAAGAGAGAGAAAGAGAATGTCAGAAGGGATTAAGGTTTGAGCAAGTTTTGAGGGCCTCTTTGGTCGCCCTCCTTGTTCCTTTCCAGCCCCAAAAAAAATTCTCGAAAGGAAAATAATTTAGGCACCTTTTAATTTAACACGTGTTCACACTTAATTAGCATTCTCGATTTTTTTTTTTTTTGGGTATTTAAATTATTAAAATACAATAATTCAAATTCTTTAGTAAAATTTATTGAAATATCCTCACGAGTACACCGTTATTTTCTCTTATTGTTGGCTAGTTGGCTATTTACCTCGTCTTCTTTTGCTTTCATCATCACCATCATTTTCTGAGTGTAGATTTCAAATTAAGTCTTTGTTTTCATCTTCATTGCTTGATATTTAGCTAATTTTTCTTTTTTTATACAATTTGAATGAAGTATACTCACTCCGGCGATCGGATCTGCATGTAACGTTTATATAACCATGCTCAATGCACATTACTAGTAATTAAATGTGTATATATAGATGAGGAGAAATTCATCTATACATAAATTTTACACACCATATTTATATAAAATTTTAATAATTTATTTCTTTATTTTTAATAGTTAAGATTTATTTATTTTTTATTCTATTTATTAAAAATAATTATCTCTTTTTATTTAAAAAGTTGTAATAAATTTTATCTATTAAAAGTAAAAAAATAAATAGTTAAAATTTTATATAAGTATAGTGTATAAAATTTATGTGTAAATATATATTTTTTTATCTTGGTTTTACAATGGAGGGCAACCATCTTTCATTCTTTACCTCTTTACCTCACTTCACTTGTATGACATACGATTCGAACTCAGAATATTTTACTTCCAATAAAATAAGATAACTACTGAATTATTTAGATCATTGGCATATGTAAATAGATTTTAATTATATATATATATCTAAATTATTCAACAAATAGCTAAAAAATAATAGAAAAAACAGTGGAAAATAATTAATTAGAAAATAATAACTTATACTCTCTCAATTATATTTTAGTTTTTTTACTTTTTAAATTTATACATGCCTAGATAATATGAATTTGTTAAAGGAAAAAGATCGCTAGTGCACCACACAAGCAGTTACAAGAACCACGCAGCCATATCACATACCAACCTAATCACAGACAAATCAGCGCCTCAAAAAACTCGTCTTAGTCAACCTTTAACAAAAGACCCTCAAAGCCATATTCACCAACAAAAATCAAATATCTTCATCCTAGCCGGTAATTTTTGTACCACAAAAAAGTTTGGTTTAGTGAAAAAATTGTCCACACGGCTACATGTTAAGGAGATAATTAGGGACATTAACCCCCGAGCTGGGAGACTCAACATATGACTATCCCCTATATATTATGTCTACGTCCATATTTTTTTGTGGCTTGCATAATGAAATATAACTTATATTTATTTTGTAACTTACTGTATTTATATATTATGAATTTCAAATTTAAAATTTATTATTTTATTTAAAAATTATCATTAAATCACTTAAATTATTATATCTTATTGATTAAAAAAAAAAAAAAGACATTATCACAAACTCCTACAACGTCTTCATTAGATTACTTTACAAATGGTCGAGTCGTGTCTCCACAAGTGGTCCTTCCTGCAGTAGCTAAAGAAATAAAATAAGAAAGTGGCCTTTTATATATATAGGACAATCATACATACACCTTCCAAAATTATACACTAATGGTTTCCATCAATGTGTGACGGAGTGTGTAACTTTATAAGATGTAGATATTATTTCTCATATAATATTATATGACAATAACGTATATCGATCCCAAATTTTTATTAAAAATTAGAATATTAATTTTATAAACATCACTTTCTAATGAATATTTTTAAAAATCAATAGTTATATTTGATTTTTTTATTAATATAGATTCATGTATGTCAATTTTCAAGTTGCTATAATGTTTATAATCATTTGATGCTCATCTTAGCTTAGCCATTAAAATATAATATAAGTAAAACCGATTTAGTCAATTTAGTTGATTCCTGCATGCTGTATAGAAAACTATATCTTTAAGTTTGTTCGCTTTTAATTTCAAATATTAAAAAATAATGATTTTTTAACACAGTATATTAAAATAAATAATGTACCAATTAGTGCCATACTAAAAAGTTGTACCTTTTATATTTTGATCTAAAAAATGTCTTATTTAGATAAAGAGAGAGAGAGAGGGAGGGGGGAAGTGGAATAAAAGACAAGATATATAATGGTCAATACTAAAAAAGAGTTACCAAAAAAAGAATATTATAATGAAAAAAAAGGGGAAAAAGAACAATAATGAACAAATTATTAATATAGAGAGAGAAAATGATGGTGAATATATGCCAATAGATAAATATATTAAAAAAATATATGAGCAAATTAAGAGATGATATCATAAGAAAAATTAATGAAGATAGAGTATAAGTTTTAGATGAATTAAAATTTTATTATAAAATTGAGTACAAGGGGTACTCACCCATACAAATGATGTGGAAAATAGGACAAAGAGGAAAGGCTAGGTCTCCTTAGAGCACAACAGCAGAAACTAGCACCAATCCCCAAAGGAAAACGCAACAGAGGTAGAGATTCCTTTAATCCATCCAAAAGTTTTTGACTGAACAAGGTCAGCTACATTGTTTTCATCCCATGTCATGGATCTGAAAATTGTACCATTTCTAGAGCACCAAATGAGCCATGCAGTTGCTAAGACAATAGGGATCCAATAGTTTCTTGCCTTATTGGAGTCAGGAAGTGAATAGAGTTGAAGAATAAGCAAGGAGGCATTATTAGGAGCAACAAATGAGAACCCCCACCAAAGACAAATTCTTTCCATAGTAGTTAGATCTACTTGCATTTAAGAAAGAGATGGTTGACATCCTCCATTTGAACACCACAAAGAGCACAATTTGTGTTAGACAAAACATCAACATCTTGGAGGATAAGATTCTCCTTAGTAGGGAGGCAATTGAGAAGAAGACACTAGATAAAAACACTAACTTTAGAGGGAACATGCTGATTCCAAATTAACTTGCAATAGCTCTCATTAAGGTAGGGGGTTGAGTTATCAAGGAATATGTATGCCTTTTTGGTTGTGTATCTTGAAGCACAATATCTCCATATAAAATGATTAGG